CAGGCGCCCACGTCCCCGCGGCTGTCGGTGGTGTAGTCCTGCAGGCCGGCCAGCAGCGTGCGGTACACCTGCGGCACGTTCTCCCGGCACAGGGCCTCGGCCGGGGGCCCCTCCGCCTTCACGCCGACCGTCTGGCAGACCCTGAAACGGGGCGAGCGACCAGCTGACGCCTGGCCCGTCCCGTTCGCGTCCCACGTCACGTCTGCCCGACAGGTGCGGGGCCGTCCGTGCCCCCAGCGGTCCTGGCAGAGGGGCTCCCGCGCGGCTCCCCAGAGCCGGACACACCCAGGCGTGAGCCCCCCGCAGCCGGGAGCCACCACCGGGGCCGGGCGTGAGCCCCTCCAACAGCAAGACGAACAGTAAACAGCACTGAACTTGGACGGCCGGCGGCCGGACGCCGGGCGTGGGAGCAACAGGCACGCACCTCGCGATGGCCTTCAAGGCGTCCCGCCGGGCCTCTGCGAAGCTCACGTCCGCGGGAGAGATGTGGGTGACGGCCCCCAAGCCCGCAAGCACCTGCGGAGCCACAGAGCTCCTGCGCCCCGGGAAGAGCCGCCTCGGGCGCCCCAGCGGCCTCCGGCCCCACCCACCACCCAGCCCAGCCACGAGGTGCGCGGGCCCGACTCGGCCGTCCGCCGGTCCCAGGTCAGTGCCTCCGGTGGGCGAGCAGCCCGGGGACGGACACGGCCCGTCTGGGCGGCAGCGGGCCCTCCCGCACCCCGCTGGACTCAGGGTCCGGGCCTGAATTCCCGACCGCCTGTGTGCAGCACGCGGGCACTGAAGCAGGACACCGGCGTGGAGGCGCCGCTCAGGACCCAAACTGGGGCGTCAGGAGAGCGGCGGTCGGCTCTGGGAGACGGCGGGCCGTGGCCAGCACAGCTCAGTACAGCGAGAGCCTCGAGCCCGCACGGGAGGCAGGAAGGGTGCGGGCAGGAAGGGCGAGGCCTGGGCCGGCATCCCCGGGAGCCACAGTGGGGTGCGGGCTGAGGGCCTCAACTGGCCAGGCCGGGCCATGAGGGCCTGGGAGCAGCACCAGCACCCCCCGGCATGCAGGCCCTGCCCAGACAAGGCGGAGCCGTGCGTGGCGGAGCCCTGGTGAGCGGGAGGGGCGGGCTGGCCTGTCCAGCTCCGTGGCCGGGCAGCCGGGGGGCCGGTGGAGATGGGCGACGTCCTCACCACACGGCTCCCTCCTGCCCCGGGATGAGACCTCCCGGGGTGTCCCGGCCAGCGCTGGCTGAGACTGGACAGGAAGCGTGCACGTCTCCGGCCACGACGGCACAGCAGGGGGAGCCCCCAAACCTTGCAAAGGGGGGGCCAGCCAGCACGCCGGGAAGCTGCCCTGCCCAGTGACGGCCAGCTGGAGCGCGGGCCGCAGCCAGCCCCTCAGAGGCCCTCAGCGCGCGGGGC